TGGAAGCACTAATATATCCCAATGCCATGGATATAGAGAAAATGAGGACTGAACAGTGAAGGAGAATTACAAACAAGACAAGAATTACAAAATCAGGGTATAGACATTGATTGGTGGCCATACATGCAAATAGAATCAAGATATAAAACGGATCGGGCACAATTTGGATTCCAAAATGAACCAAATGAATTGGATAAAATATTACAAAGTACAGATCAGAAAATGATTACCAAAATTTATAAGTACCTATTAAAATACAAATTAGAAGAGGAGGTTGTCAAAGAGAATATGATAATATGGGCCAAAAATATAGGATATACTATTGAATTGGATAAGTGGGAGAATCTGTGGAAGATAAATTACAAGATGACATTGTCTATACCCTACAAGGAAAACCTTTACAAAATGTTCTACCGATGGCACCTCCCACCGGCGCGCCTAGCCAAGATGTTCCCAAATACATCTCCGATGTGCTGGAAATGTAAATCACAGAAAGGGACATATTATCATCTCTGGTGGCTATGCCGAAGGGCAAAACAATACTGGCAACAAATTAAAACAATGATTGAAGAAATCACGAAACAAAAACTGGAAATGAGGCCGGAAACCTTTTTATTGGGAATAATCACAGCACAATATACCAAAGAAATAAAATATTTGATCATCCATATCCTCACAGCAGCACATATACTCTTTGCCCAACATTGGAAATCTGAACAGTTACCTACAGAAGACAAAATAATAGCTAAAATTACAGAATGTGCAGAATTGGATAAGCTCACAAAAGCAATACAAGAGAAAGATGATACTGATTACTATTTAGTATGGCAAAGATGGTACAGCTGGCTGGAGGCAAAAATAGGAATATAAAGATGACTTTCGACTATTCAATAGAAATGCATAGAAGTAAATAAGGAGTCAACTATATATGTACATATATAACTAAGTAAATAGGTGACTGTAGATATTGATACAAATAGAAATATGAAAAATAACCCACCGTTGTAATATCTTCTAAGAGTCAGTCATTGGACGGAATTGATGTGTGTTCGTTTTGTATGTTGTTTCAATGTATTTATGTTGGTTTTGTTTTTTCTTTTTATTATTAATAAAAACTATTATAAAAAAAAATAAAAATAAATAAAGTTTAGGAAGTTTTAAATTTAGCTGCTTTTATATAAAAATAAAAATAAATAATATTTGTGCAGCTTTCTGAGATTTAGTGTGTTTCTGTAGTGTTTCACTCTAACTACACAATCACACAAAATCTCACAAAGCTGTATGTGGAATTTTGTGTGTGTAAAGTTGGTTTTTTGGGCTTTTTGTGGCTGTGTGAGGTTTCTGCTTGTTGCAGGGGCCATTTTGGGTCTAGCACAGCTGCTTTTATATTGTGGGTGAGCCAGTTGTGTTGTGTTGTGTTTTGTAGGTTAAAAAAGGGCAAAGAAGTGACATTGACTTGGCCATGCTCACCTGACCAACAAGCCACACCCTCCCAGTCACCTTACCACTAAGCCATGCCCACTAATTAAGCCACGCCCACAGAACCGGTAGCAAAAAAATTTAGATTTCACCCCTGGGGGAAGGGGCTGCATGGTTAATGAAGTGAGGTAGAAGTAAACAATTTACCTGTCAGAAACCACTTAGCCAGGATGTTGGATCTTGCTTACAAGAAAAACCCCACAACCACACAGCTAGAAACTAGAAACTTTGCAAGATACCCGTGACCTGGGGTAGACAACAGGTGGAGTGAGATTTAGCTATTTTGCATAGCAAGCATAAAAGCTTTTTTGGGGGGAGTAATCCAGGTAACTAATCAATATTATAGGCATTATTAGGGGGAGGGGAAAGGGGTGTATGTGACTCACCTATGAGGATAAAAATTGTTATAAAACTGTAATTAGGGCCTTGGCAGCTTTCAAAGCAGGGTCCTTCTATCTTGGTACCAAAATAAAAGTATGTTCTTGTTTCACACCTTGTGTTTGGCGATCAATCGGTTTTGACACCAAGCTAAGACCCAGTTTTGGGGACAACCCTCACAGACATGAGTCCCTAAATCTCAACTTCCTTTTTGAAGAAATCCCTCCATCCCTCTGCCTCTTAAAGCAGGCCTCTCAAAAGCTGTAGCCAGATGGCAAGCCTCTCCAAAGAATACCAGCATTTTGGCTGCCTATCACCAGGCACCGTTAGTAACATACAGTGGGATGGGAGACCCATAAACATGCCACTTCCTTCAATAATTGAGAGCTAGGGAATGTATCTTGTGAAATAATATAGGACCTATGGGCATTATCATTCTATTCTACTCTACTCTACTCTACTCTACTCTACTCTACTCTACTCTACTCTACTCTACTCTACTCTACTCTATTCTATTCTGTATTCTGTTCCATTCTGTATCCTGTTCTGTTCTGTTCTGTTTTGTTCTGTTCTGTTCTGTTCTATTCTATTTTGTTCTGTTCTTTCTATTTACTCTACTCTACCCTACTCTACTCTACTGAAATAAAATAGGACCCTGGGGCATTATCAAATTAAACTGTGTCACTGAAATTGAGCACAGAGAAAACCTTGCGCTGATGAGGCTACCTAGTTGGCTAGTGAAATGTCTGCAAGGAATGAGGAGTCCACAAGGAAAAGAATCAAACAAATTTAAAATCGTGTTTAAAGGGAGGGTGGCGGCCCTTGCTGCTACTTCCTGATATTTTGGCCAACAGGCCAGCTCTGACTCAAGGGCACTTATCTGGACAAGTCCCTGCCACTTTTTTGGCCAAAATTTTGTCAGATGTTTTTTATTTCCCCTTGCCGCCTTCTTCTTAGGGTTGAGAGAGGGGCTGGCCCAACCTCCCCCATTGGCTGCTCTGCTTCCCTCAACTTCAGCCAGCTCAGGAAAAAAATAAATAAAGAGTATTTGCTGGCTTTAAGCTTCTCTTCTCAAACTGCATTTAAAATCAGTGGTGAAATCCATTTTTTTTTACTACCAGTTCTGTGGGCGTGGCTTGGTGGGCGTGGCAGGGGAAGGATACTGCAAAATGTCCATACCCTCCCCACTCCTGGGAGAAGGATACTGCAAAATCTCCATTCCCATCCCACTCCTGGGGGAAGGATACTGCAAAATCTTCATTCCTGGGGGAAGGATATTGCAAAATCTCCATTCCCACCCCACTCCTGGGGGAAGGATATTGCAAAATCTCCATTCCCACCCCACTCAGGGGCCAGCCAGAGGTGGTATTTGCCGTTTCTCTGAACTGCTCAAAATTTCTGCTGCCGGTTCTCCAGAACCTGTCAGAACCTGCTGGATTTCATCCCTGCTTAAAATCTTTCCTCATGTTTAGGACTAGGAACTGATTCACAAGAGAGGCTGATGTCGTAACAGTTCAACTTCTGGATTTCTATGTTTCATCGGCACGGTTCCAATGTGTATATATATTTTTTTCAAACAGAAAAAGTTGTTTTCTTGATGTTTTCTTCTTTTATTGCTCAATATCCTATTTACGGAAAGGAGGCCCTGAAGTCATTCTGAAAAGTAATTGAGAAAGAGGCAAACAGGGAAGTAGGCTTTCTCCTTCCAGAAGACCACCAAAAACTTAGGAGGACTGGATTGTCTCCAGTGGTAGGGAAGGATATATAACCCTGGGAGATATTTGGGGAGGGGGCAGAGAGGAGACAGCTAGCCCGAGATGGGGGACCAGGATGGAGGCATTATAAAATAAGGCTGAGGGGAAGAGAGAAAGAGTTGAGTCAGCCACGCTCAGAATACAAGAACTCAAAAGGTGATTTAAGGAAGGTGGACGACAGAAGGTCCAGGAAGCAGCGGTGGGATTCAGGGAAGTTTGCCACCAGTTCGCAAATGTGAGCGCACATGCCTGCCTTCTGCGCCTGCACACAGCCTTCTGCACCTCACACGTGTGGCTCCTGTGCCTGTGCATAGCCTTTTGCGCAAGTACTTTGCTTGCACGCAGCGTCGAAAACGAGGCTACATAGGGTCACTGCTACCGGTTCACTGAATGCCACCTCTGCAGGACGGGGAAGAGATTGCCAGGTGATCCATTAACAGCATATTTGCTTCTAGTGTGGGTGGGATTCAAAAGTCATCAAAGCAATCTGACAGGCAACCACGTATCCAGGATGGTGCTAGAACTGTCTGGTGCAAGGTGGGCTCAGTCCCGCATGTCCTACTTATTCCAATGTATGATTTGATTAAATGTGCGGCCTGCCAGAATCAAACGTTTCTCATTGACGCACAAGGTCTCCCCAGTATTAGAAAATTATTCTTGATGTAATGTTACCCTTTTTAAAAATGGAGTTTGAAAAACCTGCAGAGATCAGTTCCGATCAGCAAGCATAAAAATTAATAAAAAGCAATAAATAAGAAGCAATAAATAAATAAATAAATAAATAAATAAATAAATAAATAAATAAATAAGGCTATGATCAGGCTAGGGAGATTCTCAGGCATCCAGAACAACCCAAATTGTTTTTAAAAATAACTCAGTTCTGAGTTGGATAAAATGCTAATAAGGAGCCAGACTGATCGCATCTCAGTGAACAAGTGATCCATGGGTCAGGAAGAAGCCCCAGTGAAGGTTGGTGGCCTTTGGATGGAGGAAGCAGGTTCTCTTGGACTTTCCTGTTTAACGGTTGGCCCCTACTCCCAATTCTCTTCATAGACAACTAGGGGCATCTCCATAGCTCCAGCACTTTCTATCTGCTGGAATCTAGTTGACCAGCTTAGATCTTGCTTCATTGATCCAGCAGGATTTTTATTTCATATATTTTTCCCTTAGATTTCCTGTCTGTTGAGAAATCATATGATCTTTCCCCCCTCTCCCCCATATCACCTCCAACAAGAGGACATTCCAAATCCCTCCCACCCACCCCCTTCCCCAAATGCTTGGCACTCTTAGCTTCCAGCCAAGGATTTCAGCTCCTAATGCTGATCTCCACAGTAACCAGGGGCAGGAAAAGAGGCATGTCTACCACAGGTAATCCAATGGTTTACTCACATCTCTGGGATGGATTCTGATGTGGCAGATTCAGGCACAATAATTTAACTCCCAACCTCTTCCACCAATGCTCCAAGTTCTCTTACAAGAGCTGTTCCAACCAGGAAGATTTCCACCTTCTCCGGAGATCTATAGGTGTAGTCCATTCCTACTTCAGGAGGCCAATGGATCCCAATTCAGCATCCAAGAGCCCAGGTCAGCAGAGGTGGTTTCCTTCCTCCTCCTCCCATCTCAACACCCCAGGGAAACAGTCCTGCTTTGCCCAGGAAACCAGTTCCAGCCACCTGACCAGGAGCTTCCAAGCAGCGTCCTAGCTGACGTGACCAGGGTTCCAGATTCACAGCTCTGGTTCCTTCCAAGCTGCCCCATCAAAGGAAGAAGCTGACTTTCCATGAGGCATCAAGCAGGAACAGGAAGGGGCCTCAACTCCCACCCGGTGAAAGTTGTCTGAAGAGTGAGTGAGAGAGCGAGAAAAGAGGAAGTGTAAGGACTGATGAAGAGTCTTGGATGAGAAGCGAAAGTTCTACTTCGCCAAGGAAAGAAAAAAAAAATAGTCCAGTTGCCTTTTGTGGGGGGGGGGGGAACCCCCCACCTTTGAGACAACCATGACTTGGATGACTGAGAATCTCCGTAGACACACAAGAACTGAGGATTACGACAGTAATACTAATATTAAATTTGCAGATGATACAATAGTGGTGGGATTCATCTCCAGGAGGAGGGGGGGATGAATCTGCCTATCGAGATAAAGTAGACTGATTGCTTTCGTGGTGTGGAGACAATAACTTGGTCCTTAACACCAATAAGACCAAGGAGCTTATAGTGGACTACAGAAGGAATAGATCCGACATCCAGCCCTTGCTTATCAATGGAGACCGAGTGGAGCAAGTGGCCAGTTTTAAGTTTCTGGGTGTTATCCTAAAAGAGGACCTGACTTGGGGCGCTCACATTGCAGCACTGGTCAAAAGGGCCCAGCAGAGATTATACTACATGAGACGTCTCGGGAAACAGGCTTTGGCTCAACCCTGCTAAGACCGAGCGGCTGTGGGTACCAGCGTCCCGATCCGATCAAGAGATTCCATCTTTGGTCATAGGGGATGAGGTGGGGCCCGCTGTAGACAGGGTGCGCAACTTGGGTGTCCTCTTGGACTCGCAGCTAAACTTGGAAGATCATGTAACGGCCGTAACCAGGGGGGTATTTGCCCAGGTTCGCCTGGTGCGCCAGTTGCACCCCTATTTGGACCTAGATGCCCTACGCACAGTTACTCATGCACTTGTCAGTTCCCGTATTGACTACTGCAATGCCCTCTACATGGGGCTGCCCTTGAAGACCACTCGGAGGCTTCAGCTGGTGCAGAATGTAGCCACGTGGGTTGTGATGGGAGTATCTCGATACTCCCATGTTACACCTCTCCTACGCGACTTGCATTGGTTGCCGGTTGCCTTCCAGGTGAGATTCAAGGTGCTGGTGATTACCTATAAGGCCCTATATGGCTTAGGCCTGGGATATTTGGGGGGCCATCTGCAGCCAGCAACAGCTGCCCATCGCCCGGTGTGTTCCCACAGAGAGGGCCTCCTCAGGGTGCCGTCGGCCAGACAGTGTCGGCTAGCGACCCCCAGGGGGAGGGCTTTCTCTGTGGGCGCACCTACCCTTTGGAATCAACTGCCCCTGGAGCTCCGGGTGGCCCCCGACCTCCGCCATGACCTGAAAATGTGGCTGTTTCGTTTGGCTGGCCTGGACTGATGGGGTTTTAATTCTAATTTAATTTTAACTTGTTAGTCTTAATTGTACTTTTAACTGTTAAATTATGAGATTTGGATTTAATTTTTAACTTTTTATTAGATGTTTCTTAACTGTTGTGAGCCGCCCTGAGTCCAGTTGGAGATAGGGCAGCATATAAATCTCATTAAATAAATAAATAAATAAATAAATAAATAAATAAATAAATAAATAAATAATAAAAAAAAACAACTGAGTAAAAAACTGATGGTGACCTTCTACCGCTGCACCATAGAGAGTATTTTAACTCACTGCAGCTGTGTATGGTTTGCCATGCACAGTGACAGATAGGACAGCGCTCCAGAGGGTGAACGTCAGTGCCCAGGGGATCATCGGTTGCCCCCTCTCCTCCTTGGAAGAATTTTATAGTTCCCGCTGCCTTAAGAAAGTTCAAAACATCCTTAAAGATCCATCTCATCCTAGCCACCCTTTTTTGGAACTATTACTATCTGGCAGATGGTACAGGACAATAAAAACAAGGACAAATAGGCTGAAAAACAGCTTCTATCCCAGAGCAGTAGCTACATTGAATTCTACTGTATAGTGCAATATTAATGCAGTATCAGGGGGTTTCAATTCAATTGTATAGACATGTAATGGTGAACCTATGGCACGCGGGCCACCTGTGGGCACGCAAGCGTTGCCCTAGCTCAGCTCCAGTGTGCATGTGCACGCCAGCCAGCTAATTTTCGGGCTTTCTGGGTCCACCAGAAGTCGGAAAATGGGTTGTTTCCAGCCTCCGGAGGGCCTCCGGGGAGGAGGGGGGCGGGGAGGCTGTTTTTGCCCTCCCAAGGTTCCAAGAAAGCCTCTGGAGCCTGGGAAGGGCAAAAGACAGGCCTACCGGGCCCACCGATAACCTTTTGGCCGTCACGTGTGAAAAGCAGGGGGAGCGCGGGGGGGTGGTGCATTGAATTATGGGTGTGGGCACGCACGCACGCGACCCCCCCCACTCCCCCTGCTTTTGGCATGCAACAGCAAAAAGGTTAGCCATCACTGGTATAGACTGTGAAGGATGTGCGTTTGTGTTTTACAGTATTTTTATAGTTATAATGGCCACTTAAGATGGCCATTTAATTTCGGTGTACGAGGTGCAATGACAATGAAGTTAAATAATAAATAATAATAAATAATTTGAGAATGACGCCTTCCAGGATGCAGGGCCAAAGATTAAATGGTAGTGGGTCCTGAGAGACTGACTGAGATGGGTTCCAAGGCGGCCATTTCCCTTCCATGGAGATCTCTTTCTGTAATCATCGCAACCCTTTGTTGAGCCGTCCTTCCCCCAGTTCTGCCCTCCTGCTCTGGCTCAAAAGGCTGAGAGCATCTCTTCCTCCACAGCTGTGCTCAACTTTGAACCAGAGGTTGGCTCCTTCCTTCTGTAGAAAGTTAGCACCCATCCCTCCTAGAAACCTTTTAGGAAATATTTAAAAAGGCAGAATATTATATTTCCCCTTAAAAGTAAAATAGAAATCTTAAGGGAGACAGAAACTCAGAGCTCCCTGACCCCAGCAGATATTTGATGCCCATTAAGAAGGACTGGACCAGCCTATCTACAAGACAAAAGACCTTCAACCTCAGGGTGATGGGATTAGCCTTGACTCAAGACCCAAACCAGGGTAAAGCTATTAAGACACAATAGGAATTGCCCAACACACTTTCAGAACAGAAGCCTCTTCATTGCATCACCCAGCAGGCTTCAACCAAGTTTGGCTCAGAAAACCTACAAGGTTTTGAGGGTTTGACTCAGAAAACGTTATGACCCCCTACAGCAACCAATAGAATGCATGCCCTTGCCACAGGAACAGGAAGCTCAAGAGCAAGGCCCAAGAGAAGATATAAATACCTCTCCCTCTCAACTCCATGCGGTCAGCTGCACCAGGACTAATGGTTCTGCTCCATTAAACCATCTTTCCAATCAGCCTCCATCTTTCCAGTGTCTTTGACACTTTGGAACTGAACCAGATGGATATTTCTTCCAAACCACTTCAGACCCAGAAGCGCTCATGTGCAGTTTGCACTAATCCCAGAGAGAAGGGCCCATCTTTGCCTTGTCTAATCCCAGAGAGAAGGGCCCATCTTTGCCTTGTCGTCTGACCGGGAGAGAGGCCTTGAAAAGCTGCTCTTGCTCTCATCTTTTTATGAACAGCAAGAGGAGAGACCATCATGTTGCTTAAAGTGGGTTGAGAAAATCGAGAAATTTAATACAATCCAAGGCAGTGTGGACAAGAGGGGACTCTCCACATTCCACCCTACGCCTTGTTTGTCATTTAAAGGTGCTGTGTTAAAAGCAAGATTTGTGACCCTGAAAATCCTCAATAGATTAAAAAACCATCAATCCGAAGCGGTAGGGATTCTCTCGTGTAGCCAAAAGCAGTTGCCTCCTCATTCTTGTGTCCTACCAGACTCTTGCGTTTTTTCAGACAATAAGATTGGATTTGCAAAGCAAACCGATCTAGGACTACTGAACAATGAATGAATCGGCACAGAGGAGGCCCAAGATGCATTCTTAGCAAATAAAAACTGAAGCTTGAGTGAATTTTTTTGTTTGGAAGTTGGATGGTTCAGAAAACAATGGCAAGAGGAGGGAGGGATTCTGCCCAGGTAAGCACCCAGGAAGGTGGACTGAACTTTGGTTATGCTCAGGTACCGTGGAAAGAATTCCACAAAAGGAAAATAAGGCAAGGAGATAAACTACCCAGAAGTTTCTAAACAAAATGGGGGGGGGGAAATGTATTCTAAAATCATTTAGATCGTTTCTCCCGCCACCCCCTCCCACAATGTATAAGGGGCCTCGGGGTCGATCTCTGCCCCCCTGTCAACACAGACTGCGACCGGCCAGAGAGAAAGGAGGAGAACCACCGTAAAATAGTGCCTCCCACCCCCAACCCTTCCAGCCGGTGCAGCATGATACCATGGTTGATGGTATCAAAAGCCGCTGAGAGATCTAACAGGACCAGGACAGAGGAACAACCCCTGTCCCGAGCACTCCAGAGATCATCAACCAACGCGACCAATGCCGTTTCCGTGCTGTACCCAGGCCTGAAGCCCGACTGGAATGGATCCAGATACGACGCTTCATCCAAGTACTGGGGAAGCTGTCGCACAACCACACTCTCAACAACCTTCGCAACAAAGCAAAGGTTGGAGACTGGATGATAATTAGCCAATACTGCTGGGTCCAGGGAAGGCTTCTTGAGGAGGGGCCTTACCACCGCCTCTTTCAGGGCGGCGGGGAAGACACCCTCACCCAACGAAGCATTTATAATCCCCTGGAGCCAGCCTCGCGTCACCTCCCAGGAAGCCAGCACTAACCAGGAGGGGCACGGGTCTAACAAACATGTGGTCGTGTTCAATCTACCCAGAATCCTGTCCACGTCATCTGGGGTCACAGGATCAAACTCATCCCAGATAACAGTCTCAAGACCTGCCTCCGTCACCCTCGCTGGATCTATCCAGTCAGAGTCCAGACCTGCCCGAATCTGAGTGATTTTGTCATGCAGATATTGAACAAAGTCCTCGGCTCTTCCCTCCAAGGGGTCCTCCCGCGCTTCCTGGTGGAGCAGGGAGCGGGTCACCCTA